AAGGAAAAGAGATTAGTACGCACGCATGCATGCATGTGGGTGTGCGAGATAGTGTGCCTCTGCATGCGCCCTCCCCTTGTATCTTTTGAGTTACCAGGACAATTTCAACTAAGTTTGATAGAACAGTATAAGATCTCAAAGCCAGCACTTGCCTATAGAGTGAGGAAAACAGTGGACCAGACAGAAAAGGCACTCAATTTAGTATTCCCAGTAAAGAAAGGCTAGTATAGGCACCCTGCGCTAGCCAATAAGCATGCACACATGCACACAGAAAATCTGTCTAAGCCTTCAGTTTCCACAGTAAAGCATGGCCTTGATGTCAGCATGATCTGTGGCCTTGTGACTGCCTACTAACATTCGCGGGAAAAGATAATCGCAATATGCACTTCCACAGAAAAATTCCCCTCCTCCCTGCCATTTGCAGTCACATCCCTCATCCCCATGGCCACATCCATTCCCTCCACTCCCAGGTGGTTCACAGCCATTGCCCACATTGAGCGGTTCCCCGTGGAACCAGTGCCTGGAGCAAAATGCAAGCCCTGGGTGCTCCTTCAGCCTCAACTCGCTGCTCCAGGTCTGCGTGTCCAAGTCTATCTCAGGGATGTCAAGTGGGCAACTTCATTGAAATCATTCAGCTAAGCTCCAGGCATATCGGATTGGGCCTCCAGAAAATTGAGAGAGAAATACCCTGGATTTCATCCTAGCTCATCCCTCCTGATCATACAGGCTCATGATAATTAAATTGGCCTATTGGCCGCTTATATACAGGATGCTTCAGCTGCCGGTTGAGCAAAGCAATCTTCCATGCAACCATCTATCCCAGCGTTTCCACTGGTCGATACCCACAGGATTGCTGTCACCCAGCTGCTAATTACACACAGTCTGGTAAGGAGGAAGCCTGCTCTCCAAGGCTTCGGTCTCATTTCCTTCAAAGTTTCAGCATTTCCAGATAGAAAGCAACTTTGAGGTTAAAAAAGAGTTACCATCTTAAAATATTCCCCAGATATCCCCCCCAAATCCAAACCTTCCCATTTGAACAGCTAAGCTGTGAAAAATAATTCTTCGAAACACTGACACAGCTGATAATGACCCGTCCTGGACACAGAGGTAGCTGCTGAATTCAAGAAACTTCCACTGATGCTGGATTTTTCTCATGCTGCTCTTACCCATTCACCTGCAAATGGATATCCCTGCCATTTGTAGGAAGTGAGCAAGCAGGGATATATGCACAAGATGCCACGAGCTCATTTTCATGCAAACACTGTCCTTTCCACTGGGTGCCCCTTGCATAGAAATGCTGTGTTTGCTCTTCACGTAACAGGAAGCAGCCTCCAACTTGTACTGTTCGTATGGTGCACCAGTTTATTTTTGATCAAAATACTGATGGAGCCAGAGGAAGAGCATCCCAGCCTGTTTATTCAGGCACGTGCAGAGAGACCTCCTTGTTCTGGCTGTGCTTTTGGTGACCTGGTTGCACATCTGTGTAATGATGCTCCTGGGACACAAGACATCAGTAACAACAAAGTCAAGCAGAAAAGAAAAAAAAATACATATATATAGAATATATATTATATATATTCTTGGACCTGAGTTCCCAACCAAACTCAGGGAAGGAGCTGATCTTTAGATGGAGGATATAATAGATAATCTGCCCTTCCAAAATTTGGCAGGTGCACATAAACAAACTCATTGATTAGCTGTGGACAGCTGATCTGACACAGATGGTTAGCTTTTGTGTTGTCTTCCGAGGACTTTAGGAAACACGGGCAAATATTGATGCTGTTGCTAGAAATGATCCTTCTTCCTTGTCTTTACAGAAACCTGGGCTTTCTGGATAAACCAACAGAAGAGATGAAGTAATTCTCTGTCATGCCTTCTTATGCCAGGCTTTACCACCACTAAAAAAAATAGGCTCTCACAATACACCAAACTCTTTAAGATGCCACCAGGAGTAATTTGTATCTGCACTCAGGCCCCTACAGTTCAAGAAAACAAAATTATCTGGTAACAGCAACACGGACCAAATAAAGGAAAGTTCTCAACAGTCCCAAAGCAAGAAGCTCAGACCAGAAAAAAGACCTGGTTTCCATTTCTGCTCCTGCCTTAGGCTTTGTCCTGCCTTGTATAGTTGTGTAGCCACTTGCTGTCATGCGGCACCCCAGCGCATGTAATTTTGGCACTCAAAGGGTGCCGAGCAGACCCTGTGCAGCCATCTGGGATGCTAATGTCAGCAAAGATGTAGTAGAAAGGACTCAGGTAAGATGCAACCCTTTGGACACAGATGAGCATCTGCAGTCCCAGACAGCATGTGGAGAAGCGGGGTGCTTTGGGGCACGTTTTTCACCTCCTCTTTGCATTTCTGCAGTGCTCCCGTTGCAGCCGGGTGGCAGGTCGGGCACATCTGCCCTGAAGCCCTCGGTTGCCAGTGCCCTGCTCAGCTGCCTTTGGTACTGGGCCAGAACCAGCACTGCTCAGCACCGGGCCCTGCACCGTGTGGCCCGGGACGGCCAGCGGGCAGCTGAGAGCAAGTGTGCAAAGCGCTTAATGCCCCGTGACAGCGCTGGAAAAGCTGCTGCCTCCCTCAGCCCCCGCTTCCTTCCCCTTCTCTGCGCAGCCCCGACCCTGGGGGGCCGGGCCGAGGTGCAGCGGCGCTTTCGCCCTGCTCGCTAATGGTATTAGAGCCAAATCCTGCTTTGCCGGGGGGGCAGCCGGAATGCCCTGGCCTCGCCTGGCCTCTGCACGGAGCTCTGGGGCCGGGGGGAGCGGGCAGAGGCGGGGAGGGAAGGA